CCCCCCCCCCGGTGCTTCTGTGGGAGGCTTCATCTGCCCCACCATCGCAGCGTTCACAAGCTGCGCCTGGTACCTCGAAGTACGTAGAAAAAACATTTAAAGCTGCATCTATAGCCAAATCGCTGATTCTCTGAATCAGCATCAGATCTTCAGATCTGGATTTGGTTGAATCGAATCAGGGACAGTGAATCAATTAATCGAATCACTGTCCCCGATTTGGGCCAAATCCAAATCGAATACGGCCCATTTCGCACACCCCTACTATGCACCCATGTTATACAATATTCTAATATTGTATTACAGTGAAACAAGTGCTAAAATAGCATGGCTTTTGATTTTTCCACTGTCAGAGCCAATATATTTACAAATGGAGCCCTTCAGAACATTACTTTCTTTGTAATCAAATGTCAGACAGTGGCCTGGATATATACTTCTTGAACTTGCCACACACATGAAAGGTAGCAAAATATGGCATTAGACAATGTAGCATGCAAAGACACCCTAAGCAAAACTCCATTGCAGGTTCTGAATTGGTTGTAACCCTTTAACTAGGGTTGGGATCCTAATTGTTTCTTATTAAAATTCTCCATGTCATGGTCAAGTGCAACATTCTCCTTTTTGTTCATTAAATACAAGGTTTTTTCATATTCCCATTTTGGTTTCTCATTCAGCTCCCTGCCTCCCAATTGTTCTTCCTGCACCAATTACAGACCTAATGTAAACTGATACAGCTCGACGACCTGGAAGATGGGATGAAGCGTATCCTCAGCAAGTTTGCTGATGATACCAAGCTGAGCGGGGAGTAGTAGATATGCTGGAGGTCAGGGCTAGGATTCAGAAAGACCTCAACAAATTGGAAGATTGGACCAAAAGGAACCTCATGAGCTTCAATAGGGATAAGTGCAAAGGCCTGTACTTAGGATGGAACAACCCCATGCACAGATACAGGCTGGAAACTGGCTGGCTAAGCAGCAGCTCTACAGAAAAGGATCTGGGGGTTACAGTGGACTATAAGCTGAAGATGAGCCAACAGTGTGCCCTTGTTGCCAAGAAAGCTAACAGCATACTGAGCTACATTAGCAGGAACACCACCTGCAGATTGAGGGAAGCGACTGCTCTATTCTGCATTGGTGAGGTCACATCTGGAGTACTGTGTCCAGTTTTGGGCCCCCTACTACAGAAAGGATGTGAACAAATTGAAGAGAGCCCAGCAAAGGGCATCAACATTGGTTAGGGGACTGGGGCACATGATTCTGAGGAGAGGCTGAGGGAACTGGGTTTATTTAGTCTGCAGAAAAGAGGACTGAGGAAAGATTTAATAGCAGCCTTCAACTACCTGAAGGCTGGTTACAAAGAGGATGGAGCAAGATTGTTCTCACTAGTGGCAAATGATAGAACAAGGAGCAACGGTCTCAAGTTGAAGGTTAGATACTAGGAAAAACTTTCACTAGGAGGGTAGTAAAGCACTGGAAGAGGTTACCCAGAGAGGTTGTGGAATCTGCATCCTTGGAGGTTTTTTAGACCTAGCTAGACAAAGCCTTAGCTGGGATGATGTTGTTGGGGATGATCCTGCTTTGAGCAGGGGGTTGGATTAGATGGTCTCCTGACCTCCCTTCCAGCCCTAATTTTCCACAATTCTAACTCCACTGACTATGCTGGAGTTTCTTCCACTTGCACCACATTGCGACTTGGCCTAGGCTCCTTAGAATTCCTCCTCCAATATCTCCACTGCTCACACTGACAAACATGGGAAGATGGGTCAGAATTTTGTCTCAGTTAAAACTGGCTAGCGAGATTGTGATGGAGAGGTACAGGGACACATCCTGCTACTCCCATGGGCAGAGCAGGATTTTGAAAGGGAGGAGTGCAACCTCAGACCATCCTTTGCTAATGGGGAAGTAGTCTACCAAAGTGGGAGTCTGAGCACCTCACTTTGGGCCTAGGCTCAGCTGCCTTGGCATGCCCCACAGGAGTCAAGGCATTAGGTGAGGAAGTGGGAAGCAGCCCCTTTTCTTTCCTGCAGTGGGAGGCTCAAGAGGCCCCAGCCCATGTATTCTAACTCCACCCGATGCCTCACCCAGATCTTTCAGCTGATTTTAGTAATGATCTCTATGGTCATGGTAGGTCCATGATCCCCCAGCCACTGCCAGAAGGGTGCCAGGTGACACCACATTAAATAGAGCCTGAAGAAATCCTCATAGCATCTTCCATAGCATGCTCCCTCATAGCATCTTCCAACCCCCAGCAGCCCCAACAAAGAGTTGAGCCCCTCCTTCCTATACCTGTAGTAGGAATTGAAGGGGGATAAGCCCGTATCAGATGATCTCCTCATGGATCTCTTCCTACCTGCTCCTCACAAGATCAGACTTCACTTCACCTTTCTGGCACCCAGGTTTTTCACTCAGCCATTCAGAACACTCCTCTCTACATGGCTTGGCCAACTCGGTTTTTCTGCCCTTGGTTTACTCCAAATAGTTTTTAGATTTCCAGATTTGTTTTGCTTGTCCCCCTGTTCAGTGCATTTGTATTTCTTTCCAGTCCCTTGCCAATTCGTTCCTTTTCAGTTTCCCTCTACTCATTTCTGGATCATCAGTCTCAATGGCTTCAGTGACCTTCTGAAACATGTTTCATGTTATCTTAACTAAACAATCTGATTTTTTTTTAAAGGTGCCAAACACCAAGGGCATTACACTTGTATTTTAATGTTTTGCCAAATAAAGAGGACAAGCTTTCATTGTAGTTTTTTCACTGTAATTAACTGATAATTGAAAAATACCTTCAGACATGCAATCCATGTTTAAGTCACTGAGGCCTTAAAAGATCATGATTTTTTTAATCAGGCAAAAGCTTCTCCAAGTTACTTTAATTATTTAAGCACATTTAAAAAAATCTTATCTAGTTCGTATTTAAAATCCTAGATTAATCTTTTCTAGCTACAACAGATAAATGCACCATTTTCTGCCATTCCTAGGTCCACGAAGCTTTTCCTGGTATATCTCCAGAGTCCAACATGGCTTGGCTCCAAGCAAAATTTTCACTTAAAAGCAGATCATCAATAATGAAGTATCATGAGCTTTTATAGGCCATTGTGGGACTGCAGTTCATACTAGTTCATCCCCTCACTCTGTGTTTAGTGAAACAGGAGCAGAATGAGTCTCACATGCTACTTTGGCTGTTTGCATGAGTAATGTACCTCCTGAATTGAGGTCTGTTTTTTCTTGGACTTCTTAATCCAGTTTTATTTGATTAGGCAGATGATAATGAAAGTATTTATGGGACAAAAACGTTTAGGATATATTATCTAAAATCTGTAATTTCCTAGAAGTTGTTCTCAAGCAGACTGGTGTTATCAAATAATCTGACCTGACTACTCTGTCTCTGGTTAAAAATCCCACCCTTGCTCAGATAAACTAAATTAAACCAGCAAGCATGCAAACAAACCCACACAAATCTTTAACTTTGCCACCAAGGGCTGTACAATGTATCATATGCCATATTTCTATTGCTGTGTGTTTGTTAAGTCTGGATACAGCTTTGTTTCTGGACAGTCACTGTGAACAAAGCATGGGGAAAAATAGGTCTCTCAATAAATCTTTTTCTTGGTTGGTTTTTCATTGTTATGGCTGTGAATTTTTTAAAGCCATCTTTCACAGCTTATAACAAGAATTACCATAATAAGGATCTCAATTATCACCCCAACTGTTTGGGAAACAATCATCAGATGAAACTGTAGGTTCCAAACCTTTTGCTGGCTCATAATACCAAAGAACTGGGCAAAAGTTTTGGCCTCATTTTGCAGCTCTTCAA